CTTTTTCGGAGTTTGCAGAATTTTTTAAAAGGAAAAACTTTTGAGGATGAGAACAATGTAAAAAAGGCTATTTCTGAATATTTTGATTCAAAACCGAAATCATTTTACAAAGACGGGATTAAAAAGCTACCATCAAGATGGCAAGAAATTGTACAAAATAATGGTGAATACATTATAGATTGAAATAAGATTTAATTAAAATTTTTTGTTGCTTTTTTTGTAGATAAAAATGCGCACGAACTTATGGACTGACCTGATACATTAAAAAATGAAAAATAATTATATCATTTGATTTCACGATATTTTGTGTATCTTAAAAATAATTAATTCTATCCCGGGATCCAGTTCACTTTTATCCCGGAATCCCGGGACAAGCAAAAGACTGGGAAATGAGAAGCCCTAGTTAGTACGTTAGCATCTGATTAAAGAGTATTATTATACTATGCTAAACTATTGAATTCCAATTATATGGAATAATCCTTATACAACTGAAATACTTGAGTATTTTTTTTTAACTCTTAATTTGAATAGCCCAATATTCCATACAATATTTGGATATAAAGCATTACTTCAGTACATTCATGTAAATAAAGTTAAGTATTTGATGTATACAGTATGTGTGTCATGACTATTCAATATCTTGAAAGAATAATGAAAACCTAGTCATCTTTAATTTAGCAGATATACACATTTACACACAGTACATTCAGTTCATAATGAAACAATACCAATTGATCAATATTAATATGTAAAGGTTATTCCCTGAAGATTCTCTTACCTCTCAAAAAATATATATACAATAGACCCAATCATCACTCAGACTGTTTTGCTAATTTCAAATGAATATCCCACTTTCGAAATCTCAGATTCTAGTATGGTAGAAATTCATTAATCTGGCATATGTGGACCAAAGTGACATTGGAAAGCCAGATGCTTTTACCACCACCATCAGAAATCAAGGAAATAATACTTTGACTGAAAACCCCTTGGTTAACATGTTTCTTGGGACTATGGAGTTAGAAGCAAATTCGTTGCTTGAGGAATAGCTAAAAATGGACCAACTCCAACTCCCATTTCTTTTATCATGTACACTTTATATTAAGCTCTATAGGAGCATTAACCCACTATCTTACATTACAAGAGTCCCTGCAATACAAGATCTTTCTTCGCAGATATTTATATTTCAATGCATTTTATGTTAGCTAATTCTAAATTTTTATTGTCAAAAGACCCATACAAAATGCAGGTTAAATCTAGTGTTTTATTACTATGACACACAATATTCTCCATTCTGGTTGATGATGATAGTAGTAACGATAAAAAAAGGTAAGTACTTTGTTTTGATAGGAATTCCTATGATTCTCTTAAAAAAATAGCCTGGACAATTCACACTGTATAGTCCCAGAAACTCAACTCTTGATAACTTGTGTCTTAAAAAAGTATATATAATTAATATCTATCTCTATAACTTAACACCAGGATCAAATAAGTTATCATTCTTCACAGGAGATACTCAAAAACAGCATCAATTCCATGTGTTAACAAAGAATATAATCCTTTTTCCATGGTAAAATTGCAAAACACCTCAATACAAATGTCACTAACTCAAAAGTAGCCAATATTTTTTAAAATTAAAATTTATCTACAAATAGAAGTGATTGCTATTGATACATAGTTAATTTGTACATGAATTTGCACATGTACTGTACACCTTTATGAAATTTCCGCTATTTAGAATAGCATTGTCACTATGATTAACAAAAACTCATCAATTTGGTAACTCGTCTCCTTCTTGGTCCACAATATGTTTATGAGATTCTACTGTAGTGATAAAATGCCATTCTGGGTTAATAGAATCAAAGTTTATATTATTTAAATCATTATTTAGAGGCCAGGTTGAGTCGAAATTGGAGTTTGGTCTACCGACTCCCCAACTCAGATATCAACTTTGTGCAAGAAACATCAAAAACTTAAATTGTTATTTGATAAGCAGCTTTACCAAGCAAAGCACACTTAAAGTGGCTTGTTAAAAGAAAGTTTAAAACTGGAAAGTTGCTAAAGAGAGGTTTGAAACAAATAGAGAGAAAACTTAAATTTTGCTGTTTGCAATAGCAACCTTATGAAATTCATTATATCTCTCTTTTAGACTAAAAAAAAAAAAGTTAAATCAGAGCAGCCAATAATTATATTAGCTATAAGTTGGTGCCTTGATTTTTATGAACACTGCTTAAAATTTTGATTTAATAAACAGTAAAGCACTAGAAGGATTTTCCTTCATAGATAGAAATCGTTTAAAGTGATCTTCAGTAGTTTAAGTATCTTTTACAAGGCAAAATGTATTCATAGTACAGCTATACTGAAGCTTTAATAATAATGAAGAAGTTAAAATTTATTTACATTTAATGATATAAAGAATCGGTGCCACATTATTATTCTGTAATTTTTTAAAATAAAATTTATATTAAAATATTCTTCTTTCATACATACACATTACATACCAAATGAGCCAATAAGGAAAAAATTTACTTTAATAATTCTTATTGATTATATATGAATATTCAAATAAAGCAGACCTCCAATAAGTTTCCAAATCTGTCAAAAACTAACCATAAGACTGAGCAAGTATATTTAATGAAAATGTGTCTACTCTGTATACACAACCAAGGATCAAGAGTTAACCAATTACCATTCACATACCGAAAGTAATTTCTAATTCTTAATCCTTGGTTGCAAATGCCCGCTAGAGAAATGGGATTAGAGTAACAATTTAAAGCAAAGAAAGCTAAATTAAACACAAGTACAGTACAGTACATTAAAGTTAGTAGTAAACTATCCTTTCATTCATTCAACTTAGATATGTAAACTGAACAGTGAAAATACTAGATATTTGTAAAATGTAATGTGCATGTTTTTACAGAATTTCAAATCAATATATTGTTCTGTTTTCTTTTATAATATTGATACTGTATTTACAAAATATTCATTACATAATTTATAAATATCTCAGCCATATTGAAGATTTTATGTAATTATATAAAGGCCTCACAATGTCATTGATAGTTCTTTGTATTATTTGGCATTAAGTGAATTTTACTATATGCCAAATAATACAAACAAGATAGAATAGTAACAACCAAATTATAACTGGATCATGTTTGCAACCTCCAGCATTTATTTTTCCATCTCAGAATCAATTTTACTGTTAAAAAAAATACTAATAATGTACTTTTAATTTTTTTTATAAAATTATATTTTGAGAAAAGATTAGTAATGAAACATTAAGTGATGACTGTGTATTATATTGTTTATTTAAAAAAAAAATAATAAGAATTTGCTTGGCTTTGCTAATGGAACCAAAACCAATCTATTATTTAAATAAATATTTGAAACAAAGAAATCAAACAAAATCAATTGTCAAAAATTATTTTGAGTATTTTAATTTTTGAATGCTGTCATGGAAGGAATAGAATTCTAATAAAATAAATATCACAGTAAATTGTTTCTCTACATTATGACCTATATAAAAACAACTAAGTATTCTTTTTTTAGTTCTACAGATAATTTACAATGGGATAAAAAGTGAAATAGAGTTTTGACAATAAGAATTTTCTTCTTAAATAAGCATACATATTTAAGGTTTAAACTAAGCAGTATTTCAAATAAATTACTTATTTTCTAAAAGTCTCATTTAGAACAACATAGTTAAAAAAAAATTGTATAATGCTGCAAAAATTGCCAGTCCCGATTCTACATTAATTTACATTATGTACAAATACGTTTTCTGAGATTACAGATCTTTTTAGCCTTGTGTTAAGGCACTATATCCAGCTCCAAGACCCCAACTAGTTTCAACACCATCAATTTTCTTCACCAGCTGTAGGAATATATTTGTAGCATGTAACAAATTTATAATAATAATTTCATTATGAGGAAAATATTTGAATTCTTAACTAATTTTACATACTCACCACTAATTCTGTATCCATATTTAACCCTAATCCATGATGTAATAAAGCAATTATATATGTACTGTCTAAGCACAGGAAAGCTTGTTTTAAATTTGTCTTGTTGCATGCTACGGGGAATATTTAAATACTGAAAATTTAGAAAACAAATCAACATATATGATATATACAAAAATCTTACCTTTACTAGCTGCTTTCTTATATTCATTTATTGTTAATTTTCCACCCTTCTGCCTATCTGTAACATTTGTAATTTGTGTCAATTTAAAAGTATATTTAGATAAATAATTATACTTAAATAATTATGCTGTATTATTTATTTAAATAGTAAAACAGTCCAATGACAGCATGGTACTGCTAAAGTTCACAGTTCTAACACATTGTCATTTGCTACACTAGACATCAAACTATAGATGCACACTTCTGGTGTAAAGACAATTTCAAAGTTGAATATTGTTTAACTTTGATATTTGATGCTAATGCCATATTGCACTGAATTTGACTATAAACTGGACAATGTTTTATCAACAGCAATAGTTTGAAACATCATGTTAACATTGGACTGTAAACTGGCCTTAATCGATTTATAGTTCTCACAGCAACATTCACTCACAGAACTTCAAATTAATATATTCAGTGTATATATAAACAATAATTAAATTAAAATCATATGCTAGATTTTTAAGTATTGCTAAATGATTGCCATATTATCATTTGGAAATATTTAAAAATCTAGTTTGCTATTTTACTGTTTTTATATATATATATACCATACCAATGTCAAATGATAGCTAAGTTGTCCCCAGTATGGTTATATCTAAATCAATAGGTTCTAGTCCATCTTAGCCTAACTGATAGCTCTGGAAACGAACTCCAGGCAATAATTTTCTTCCAAAAATTTTTAATAATTATAATAAAGTAATTTTTAATTTAAAATTAATCACAAGATGGCAACCTAAGCACCTACCTCTAGTCAAATTGTTTTAAATCTAATTATTAAATTAGCCTTATTATAGCCTGATAATATGGAAAATTAAAAGTAACATTAATGTTACCAAACAATTTGTAATTTCAATCTTATAGTTTGTAATTTCATAATACAAATTTCATAATCTAGGTCAGAAGCTCTATTATTTGTTTAAGTACATCAGTACCAAGGCTAGGACAACTAGACTATAAAATCATATAAATGGCTATAAAGATTATAACTTATGTGCAAATGGAACACAATTTTGAGGCTGGGATTGTTAATTACTGCTAGATTATTATGTAAATTTCAAGAGAGATTTTATTGTAACAAATTTTGAAATATCAAAATATACTGAAAAAATATAGCAATTAATAAACAGGTAAAGTCGTTAAAGCAGTTTCATCATAACAGTATCTTAAATTATTTTATCATCAATACAAATATCTATTTTAAAAATAAAAATAAGTTGGAAATGTAAAACTGGAAATATGTCCAATCACAAATCTATTCAATATTTTAAATATTCATCAACATACCATATAATGATAGCTACTTTGGACTTTAACAACAGTTGAAAGTTATCAAAATGCAATGAACCATAATGTTAATCCATGCTGTTTTAACATAAATTTAATCAGCACATGTATTAATTCCACTGTGTATAATATAATAAACATACCTATAATACCCATATCAGCTGCCCTATCAAAATAATATGATAAGGCAAAAATAATTCGTTTTGGCAATTCTACTGGCTGATCAACAGTCATATTTAAAAATGTTTGGGCCTGTTTATAACATGAATCAAAATTATATTTTCCAGATTTCATTCCTCTGCAAAATATAAAAATTATTATAAGTATTTTCAAATAAAATTATTTGGTAAGATCCAAACACTAAAACTTGCTTCACTAAGTAGCTTTTTCCTCCATAGATCCATTTTTCCTTTATACTTGGGTGGATACAAGGACTATTAAGAATTTCATGACCTCCTTCAATTTCTGAAAAAAATAAAATTGTTATAACAAGTTTTTCAAGTATGCATTGATAAATGAATTATATCATCTCACTTTTATGACTTGTTGTAGACTGCAGAATTCCTAATCTTGCTGACATCAGTCCCAAACCAAGATAACTGAATGTTTTAAAAATTGAATTTAAATAATAATGATTCCATCATAAAAATAATTAAATATTACAACTATGGTACCTGTGTGTATATAAAATAATGGATTCATTTTGGATTGTCCTCTTTATAATGTACTCCTTTGGACTAAACACAAGCGTTTTCACATCATTGGGAGCAAACGTCACTTGTGTGGATCCACCTCCCAAGTCTAATGTTGCTATGGAATTTTCATCACCTAACAGATCTACAATAACAGAATTACAGGAACTATTTTATAATGAATTGATTAATGTTTATTATGTTTTTTTTTTTTTTTTTAAGTAAAGAGCAAATTCTATAATCAGTCAGATTTCTAAATCATCAAAGTGATTTAAAAGCAATCAGTTGGGCCAAATTATATTGTTTAAAACTAAATCCATATTTAGTCCAAAAATCAAATCCAGTGATTTTAATTTGATAGATTAATCATAAGCCATCTACAGCATAAATTGCAATAAAAGTTTTAACACAATTAACTTACAAGATTTTTTTCATTTACTTATTTAACATTGTAAATATATATACTTTTAAAAGTATTACAGTGAATTATTAATCACAATATTTAAATTGAAATTTACATAAAATACTTTATAGATTTTTTTTAACTTTCAAATTTTAGAAATTTACAGTAGAAAACTGTTATACAGTAAGGCTCTGCTTAACACTGATTCGATATAACACAGTCTGCTTGAAGCCTGGATACAACAATATACAGTAAGACCTCGTTTAACATTACTTTGATTAAGCCTTAAAAACAAACTCAAAATACATGTTAATTGAAATTATCGTGTCATTTCACTGATTCGTATATAATATGATTATTCTCAAACACGAACCAATTAGCAAAAGGTGGCAATCTGTCATAGCACTGTACTTTAAATTTATGTTTGTTTGGTGCAATTTTGGAAAAAATATAACATTATGGATGCCATAGGCAATATAGACTTTGTTGGCAAGAATTAACTGATAAATGCATGAATTGAGTGTGGAAGAAGGTATGGCTGGAGGTATCCAAGAATTCTCAACAAGAAGAGCCTATCATTGACCAAATTGTCAACCTAATCAATACAGCAGGACTAGGAGATGTAGACGAGCAGGATGTTGAGGCATTACTGCAGGTTTCTGGTGAGAGCCTTGCCAAGACGATTTTCAAGAACTGGCAGAAAAAGGAATTCATGTAGAACTGGAAAATAGTGATTCTGAAAACAAAGAACCCAAAGAACTTGTTACAAATTCCCTTAGCAAAAGTTTGGTAACGATAACCAAAATCATTGATCAAACTGTAACAATTGATACAGATTTTGAAAGGAGTGCAAAAGCAAGACAAAGCGTTTTGGATGCGATCTCCTGCTACTGACATTTGCTTAGCGAAAGAAAAAAAGAGCAACAAATGTCACTAGACAACTTCATCACAAAAAAATCAAAAATTTCAGAAGAGCCAGAACCTTCAACATAAATGTAAAGTTTACTTTTTAATGTTTGTGTGTTATTTAACATATATTATGCAAATTAATATAAAAATTAAAGTAAAATCTGTTTATTTTTGGTCATGTGTTCCCCTTTCCCTATTCACTCTGTTAAAATGATCTTGTTTAATGCTGTTTCATTTAGTGCTTTGTCGTCTAGGAACATATCCCCCATGTTAAGCAAAGTCTTACTGTACTTTCTTTACATTACACCAAACAAGATATCAGGGGTAGCCAGACCTTATCACAATAGAAGCAATTTACAATGTATCAGAAATACATGAAAGCTTCATTCTATATTGGAACAGTATTTTTTTTATATAACTTATAATTTCGTTGTCTATATATTACAGTGGGTATCTGATATATGGAAGCCAGAATAAGGTTCTAGAAGAGCCACAGTTCAGCCACCCGGTAATATATATTTACTTAATGTAAATACCTCTCATTTAAAATACCTCTCATTCTAATTAAAGAAGCAAAGCTGAATTTATTCTGATTGTCATTTATAGAATTCTTAAAAGGGATAATGGAGTAGCTAAAACAAGATTAATGAAAGAAATGGAAAAAACATTAAATATGTTAATTTTTGAAAATATTAAGGTTTCATGTTTTTTGAACTGAAAAGAAATTAGTTTTAGGTATCAAGGTATTACTTATGAAATACATTAGTATAATTTACTCTTTAGTCATTACTCATATTCTTCAATTATACAGTATATATAATGCTAATATTTTTTTAAATGTAGTAACATTGTAAATTACAAAAAGATATTCTTAAAATGTTACAAAACACTGGAATTAAGCCATCAAAAATAGGACTGTGGGTAAATCCTCCAGTACATCAAAATAAATAAAATACTAATTAAAAATATTTTCTTCTAAGCTAATTTAATGAGACGAATAAAATGTAAAAAATTTTACATTCTTACCTAGAAGGAAATTCACTGTAAACCATGCAAATAAACCTGTAAATATCAATAACACTTATTTAATGTTGATAAAAATTTAATAAAAAACACAGCAGATAACTAAACTACTATTAACAATACAAATGTAAAATTGATTTCTCATATTCTTGTACTAACTGAAGTAAATGAATTTTAAATTAATACATTTCTAAAAATTTATTAATTACATCTATAAGTTCTTGATTATAGGCCTCAGATGACGGCCACCCTATTGCCAGTAAATATCATTTGTTTTTTTATTAGTTGTTTCTACTTTGCTGCTATTGGTATATTATTCATTAATACATGATTTTCAGAAAACAAAGGGATTGGTATTTTGTAGTGGAGGAAGACTTCATAAAATTAATAAAATTCTTATTAATGATGTAGAAATTAATTTTTTTCCTAATTTTAAATATTTAGGATTGAACTTTTCCTCCTCTGGAGTTTTTAATTATCATTCGGATAAAACAGAAAAAGATATACTATAGAAGACAGGTTGTCTTTCGGCACTACAGACAAAAATGAGAATGAACACTAGCAAAGCAATATTTGAACTTTTTGATGCTATGTTAAAGTCTAAATTGACATATTTGATTCTGTTTGGGGTTTAGATCTTATTGAGAAAATTTAGATGCAATTAAGATATTTCAAAAGATTATTTAAGCTCAAATGTTCAGTGCCTGGTTCTGTTGTAAGACTGAAATTAGAGAGACTCCCACTTGAAATTAATATTTAAAAAAATACTTTGTTGTTTTGGCCTAACATTATTGATCATTCAACAACATTCCTCATCATGATCTTCATTATTGTGTTTATGATTTTTTATTGAAGAAAGAAAACGTGAGATCTAGAATTAGGAAGAAAATCATTTTTGGACAGATTAACAAAAGGAGAGAAAAGATTTAGAAATTAATAGAAAATAAATTTTTTGTAACTTTTAACTTCAACAAAATTTTGAAAAACAGATGTCAAGAATACTTTCATTTTAAAAAGGAAGCTGATTTCCTTTCCTACAGCCAACTCATGAGATGAGTCAAAAATGCAGCTTTGCACACGTTATTTGGCCGTCTGAGAAGTCCGATATAAAAAGAGATTTTTCCCACCATTTGAGAGTCTGCCATTAGAATGATTCTCCATATGATGTAACGAGTTCGTCATACTATTCAGAGTTTTCCATACGATGTAAAGAGTCCGTTATACGATGAGATCGTCATACGAAGAGACCATCATAAGAAGTGTTATCCATACAAGAAATTGCCATAAAATAAAAGAAGATTGTCCATAAGTAAGAAGATTCTCATACATTGGAATATTCGAAAGAACGGGGAAGGTAATATAGTAATGTGTAGATCGATGTGAACTCTCTATCACGCGTTAGATTAAGATAGAATTATTAGGTTTAATTTAGTTATTAGTGACTTAGGTTTAAGTACAATTTGTTATCCATTCGTTTGTATATCCTTGAATATTTTTGATTTATTAAATGTTTTGGTTTATTTTATAAATATGGCTTGTTTAATGATAAATATCCACACTTCTGCCTATTCAAATTACTTGCCTCCCTCATACTTGCAATTCCGTGATTACGCGTGTTAATCCGCGTTTAAGAAAACTGATTAACTGGTGTCAACATCCTGACATGGATTTGGACTTTACAGTCTATATCCTTATTTTATTTTAAAGCCCTCCTTAAAAATTTAGAGATCGAATCTTGTGATTTTGTGCCAATTAAGTGGTGCTCCAGGTTGTACCCCCAGTTAATCTCATAAAAATTCAAGTAAGAGAAATTGGTGTTATCAACAAAAACCATTTTTGATAATTTAGGCCATTCTTTTGTATTTTCAAATCATTCACAGCTACAGTTAAGAATTTATTTGTGTGATATAATACAAACTAGATGTGATCAATTACGGAATCAAGATATAATTTATGCTTCAGTTCGGTCACATAATATTTATGAAAGAAATACAGGTTGGCAGACTGCCAATTACTTAAATTATAACATTGGATTTCCTATGAAAAGTTTGTTAATGCAATTACACCTTAATAAATATCAGATTATGTTTAATGGTCATTATATAGACATTTCTAAGAGGCATTGTTGCCCATATTGTATTACCAATCACAATTGTATATTAGCATGCATTTTTGCATAGTACCCAGTTTATATTTGTTAGAGAGATTTTAAAGATTTATTTATATGATGGAAATATATCGAAGATAAATACATATAAATTGCATAACTTTTTCGTTAAATCCTTGTATTATTTGTGTTAACTGTATTGTTTAAGTACAATTAAGAGATCATTATGTGGCTGCTTATTTATTAATTTTATTTTATTTTCCCCTCTTGTATGGGAGTAGTTGTAATTATATCAATTATCCATTAATATAAGCATTAATTATGCCCCTGATATTTCTAAGGAAATTAAGTTTAAGAATAAAAATCTTATTACATACCTTCATCCTCTCCATCCATAACTGATACACTATCTTCACGTATTTGGAATGGATAATTGTGAAAAAGAAGTTTCACCTGTTGAGATAAATAATAAAATTTACAGTTGTGATAATATCAATATTTAGTTTAATCTAATGACTACCTGCAGGCCATGTGGTCCTACTATGGTCCCCAGGGTTTAGCAACATGATTTTATTTTCTTGTTTTTTTTGCCTCAAATCCTTATGCAATCTTAATTAAGCTGATATTCATGAAGAACATTAAAACTAAACTCAACTAGTAAAACGATTAGAATAAACTATTACTTGTCTGCATATCATTAACATACATTATTTTAATACCTAGTCTACTGGTGATTATTAATTAAGTATGGTGGTACTTGACTGGCTTAAAACCTGCAACTCAATAAGAGAAAACACGTGGCCTGCCAGAAACCTACAAAGTTTACTTGAACAATCTTTTCTGAGAGCTACACCACTGGTCTAGTCTAGAAAAATTACTAATTAAAAAAACCTTTATTATATTTCGTATTTTACATGTTTATATAAACTTATCATTTTAGTTTCTTGATTATCAAAACTTGTTTAAATTTAAATATATCTCCACAAGTCAAATAATGCAGTTGAAGAATTAACTTGATAGTAAATTTTGATGTACACTGTAAAATGTAAAGAAAGTTAAATCCATTTTTTATTGTTGATGTTACTGCTATTTTCTGTCACAAGGACCACCTAAGCTAAACTAGACCATAATCCTGTACAGTAGGTACAGGATTATGGTCTAGTGTAAAAACCAATAACAAGTTTGCACTGTTTATATAGGACCTAGTTAAGTCAATTACAATAAGCAATTATTTATTGTGACATCGTTACAATTCTGGGCTGCAATTTTTAATCATATTCTTAATTTATTCAATTTAAAATGTTCTCCATCTCAAATTTGTAATGTCTTGCCCCTGTACATCATACTTTTCCTGATAACAACAGTCATGCCAATTGTCTATGTAACTCCATTCAGGGAGAAATTTTTCAATTGAATTCACGTGACTTCTGGTCTAGACCAGAAGTTTGTATATACAGTAGAGTGTCGTTTATCCGAATCAATTGGGGACTGGGGTTGTTCGGANAAAAAAGTAGCCACATTGTGCCCAATTAGCCAAATCTTGTAACGTTGGAAGAAATACTAACTAAAGCTGGAGCTGTAAATCAAAGGATTATAGACCCAAGTGCGGGGAAAAAGAGGCAAAGGACAAAAGATAAAGAAGTGAAAAAGGTTGAAAAATTCTATAGGTTGAAAAAAAAGGGTTTCTAAGGACTCTCTATTTGTTTAAAGAAGATCTATTTAACGTTTCTCACAACTACATCTTTTGTGCTTTCTCATCTTTCCCTCTTTTTCCCAAATTTGGGTCTATAATCCTTTCAGTCACAACTCCAGCTTTATTTAGTAATCATTCCACATTCACACATCTCAAAGTATTTGAAAATATTTTCTTTCCACTCAAAAATAAAATACGAATAAAGGTTTATGGCTTTGTGAAACATTTGTTGAGTTTATGCCGTTGAAATAAATAAATAATAAAAAAATTAAAACATTTGTCGGTTTTGTTTACACGTTTATTGGGCCGCATTGGAACTTGCCTTGGGCCGCATGCGGCCCGCGGGCCGCGGGTTGGACACCCCTGCTGTAAGGTTTCATTTTAGTTTCTCATTTTCATCACAACTTTTTTTTTTTTACTGACGACAAAATTAAAACATTTGTTATTAACCGAAAATTTGTATTAGAGGGTGGTGGTTGTTCGGTCGAGTACCTATGTACTATTGTATTTGAATAACACTGTGGCTTCGAGGGATTAACTAACTGCGTTTATCAAAGGATACCTGTGTATAAATATAATATACAGTACTGTACGCGCAATCCGCTTTTTCATAGTCTGTTGGGACAATCTCTGAAGAGAGAAGTGCCTCCCGGGGGACTTTTACAGCCATGAGCCTTCTTGGTGCTTGCAGCACGGAGAGTCAAAAAGGGAAAAAGTGGGTGCCAAAATACTTAAGATTCCCACATATTTATTTTATGTTGTTAAATAATTCTTTGACCACAAATTTCAACTAATCATCACTGTTAGGTTAGTACCAGGGTTTCTCAAACGGGATTCCAGGATCCCGGTTTTTTTTTTAACCCAGGAAATCCCGCAAATTTCTTAAAAATTCACTTTTTTCTTACTGTGTGTTAAGATTGAGGAATTTTGCAAATAGAAAGCATAATTAACTCAAACTGTCAGAATACATTTGTATTTATTAATTTTAAACCTACTTATTAGTTTTTTAATTGTTGTTGGTCATGGCATGCCACAAATGATCAATAATCAGTATGTAGTTTATTTGTGGCAGGACTCTGAAAATACTTGTCAGAACCTGTAATATCTGAAATAATTGTGCTTACGCTGTTTTAATTTTTAACCATGCCCAGTAGCTTCAATAACTGAGTAACGCCAGGTTGTGCAAATTGGAAGTAGAAATCTTTCAGGCTACGGGTGACAAAAAAACATATAACATCTGTCTTCTCTTAAATGCATTAAAGACGATTCCAATCACATCAATTGAATCGGAACGGGCATTCTCGGTTGCAAGACTTCATTACTAAAACAAGAATTTGATTGAATGATCGGAGTATTGACCATCTTTGCTTTTTAAAATCTTAAAAAAATTACAATATTTTGTATTATATTTTGTTTAAAAAAACGAAAATTACCTTCTAAATTAGAAGTTTGATTTAAGTTCATTTTTTTTAATTTTTAACTCCATTCGAAGCATTTTTTTTTTTGTTGTTGTATGAAGTTTCCAGCAAACTTTAATAATTTTTTTTCTATTTGTGAAAATCTCTACGTAATTCAAAGGTAATTTTTAAATATCTTACACAGCATTATTAATTAATTACTTGATTTTAGAGGTTACAGAACGTATTAAATTATCAGGTCAGTCCATAAGTTCGTGCGTATTTTATGACCTTGAGAAAAATCTTGTTTTGCTGTTAAAAATGCCAGTCTAATGTGATACTTTTTACACTGAAGTGTTAATCTGAACAGTATTCATATAAATACTGTTCAGAATTGGGAACATTTCAGTTGTTTATTTTCGTTAAAATGGAAGTAACAGATGAATATGAGACATGTTTTATACTTTTTATTTTTAAGTGGTGAGAATGCTACAAATGCAGCCAAAAAATTAAATACTGCTTATAATCAAACTGTAACAAGTGTAAGGACTGTGCAGAAGTGGTTTGAAAGATTTAGAAATAATGATTTTAGTGTGGAGGATAAGGCTCGTACTGGAAGACCCGTTGACTTTGATGATGATGCTCTCTCTGCACTAGTTGAA